GCAGATGAACACTTAACAGACCACACACAGACTCTTCCATACACCTCACTGCACACCATCAATGCATGCACTGCACTTTAACCAATCCATACTTGAAACAATACTGCCTACAACTATGTGGACACCTATTCATTGCACATATCGCTGTCAATTTCACATTGTCGTTGTATTTTGCACTGTCTGTATTTTTGCACTGTCGTTGTATTTTGCACTGTCTGGAGCCAGCACCTAAGCTTTTCACTCATCATAGCACACGTGCTGCTGCTGATGAGACAATAAAAGTGATTTGATTTTGATTTGATGTACACAAGTCAAGGAGTAAAAGGCATTTTCAACTATTACAGGGTTCAACGCTACGGATTTTTTTCTACTGGCCCGATCGGACCAGTGGTTCAGATTTTTACTTGCCCTGCCAATATTGTCACTGGCCCCACCAAAAAAAAGTTATTAGCTATTTCTTAGCCACAAATAAAAAAAATGTCAAAATGTTTGTAAATCTAGAATTTAAATATTTAAAGAATATTAAAGTGTTTTGCAAACAAAAGTAGCAAAATGTGCAGGTATTTTATTGCAAAACAAAGGATGACTGACCTGCCAAACTAACGGCAAACTATACAAAACATCACTGTTTTTTTAGTCGTGGTTTACCCTCGTAAATGTCTGCTTCCAAGACGTTAGAGACAAATGTTTTCCTTTAGCATCATCACTTGATGTTGCCGCCATGTTGCTGTCTCTTAGCTCTACTGGTTGTTACGGAAAAAAAAATAACATGCTCACAACAGCCAATCAGATAAGAGGAACCAAGAAGGTAACATTTGAAAAACACAAACGGTTTCTCTATTCTGACTGTATTTGCACGCAATTGACAAATAGTCACAGGCAAATCAAACTTTAGTGACAGGGCATTAGTGGCCCGATCGGGCCAGTAACGATCCTGTCTACTGTCCCGAGCATCTCACACGCTGGCCCCGGGCCATCGGGCAGTCCTTATTGTTGAGCCCTGCATTACAATAAATAGTTTTTAATCTTTATATGTTGTCATTATTTGTCAGCAAGACCTTTTGAACAATATAAATATATATAGATATGAATAATCAATAATAAAACCCTTATTCTCCCTGCTGAAAAATCCAGCTTAAACCAGCCTAGGCTGGTTGGCTGGTTTTAGCTGGTTGACCAGCCTGGTTTTAGAGGGGTTTTGGCCATTTCCAGCCTGGTCTTAGCTGGTCAGACTGGAAAATGACCAGCTAAAACCAGCTTGACCAGCCTGGTTTAAGCTGGACATAGCTGGTTTTGGCTGGGCTCCCATCCTGGCTAGGCTGGTTAAGCTGGTTTTAGTTGGTCATCTCCCATAACGTAAATTTAATCTAAATTTGTCACTGACAGTAATAATCAATAACACAAAATATTCTTTTTTGTATTTATCAGGGATGGTTTTGTGGTGTTATCTCACCTCTATATACTGTTCTTCATCGAGAATCTTCCTCTTGGGTTTTTTGCTCTCCTCCACAGGATTCCTGACAGCGACTGTAGTAACATCAGACCTCAAACACACAGCTTTCTCTCTAGACTCGGCCATGTTTCTCCTTTAATGAACGAAACTGTTATTTTAAAGCGACTTAAACTCCTATTGCGCAAGTTGTTTACGTTAGCTATGCGCTAAGTACGCTCTCTCTTTTACTTTCTATCTACATGACAACATATGTAGTATATTTACGATATTTTGCGGTAAATGGTGATTGTTAAATTGATCTTATCGATATAAAGGAGAACGAAAATCAATGTAATATCAACAAAACGTCGTCACATCGCATGCAGGAAAAGCCTCTTCTTCGTCTTCTTCTTATAATATAGCGGCGATTCCAGCGATTTTGATGCATCACCGCCACCTTCAGCTCCGGAGTGCGGTTCAGCGTCCTCTTTTTTAATTTATTTTTTACTATTAACCTTTTGTAATTTAAATTTAATTACAACTTTAAGAATGACTAACATTGACTCACTCAACACCTCCACACAAGCATTTTCAACAAGTCCTGATGTACAGAAAAAGTAATAGCTATAACGTTACGTTCTACTGTTAGTGTGTACGAGGAAATACTGAAAAAGCAATCAACATTTGATAAACTGGGACATACAATAATTAAAGATAGTTTTTATACAAAAAAGTCTTAACCACAGCGACTCTCTGGCGTTTTCTGTTGACTAACGACTGCATATCAACTAACGTGCACAGTCATACCATAGAGAGATTGTAAATATATTTAGCGTCATTACTGTGACGCAGAACAACATTAAATAACTCTTATTCATTACTGCAAGGGGTAGGTTTATGGTTGGGGTGGGTGTAGACAAAAACAAAACAACAGGTTAATGTGTGAAGACGTTGAAGAGTCATGAACTCGTCATAATCTACAGTTAAAATGTTATTATACGGATCAATAATCAATTAAAAAATCTAATGATGTATTTGTAGAGGCCTGAAACGTGTATGAAGGGCAGG